AATATTTTATTGTTGTGTTGTTGATTTCAGCTGTCAACACTCGTCAACGTATCCAATAAATAGTATATACTACAGAATAAGAAATCGATTCGAACTGTGAAGTGAAATGAGACGAAGCGAATGAGAAAAAGTCATGAAGAGAACGATATTCACAAGTAATAGCTATGAGAGTGAATACAACACGTCTGAAAAGAATGAGAATTAATGTGAATCATTTGAAATGAGCGTGACACAGGCAATAGCCTTTCATGCAATCATAATCACCGCAGTAATGAGTAACACAACATATTAACAGATTATCACTTACTTGGTTGAGCCTTCAGCAAAACAATCGTATTCGACATAATTTTTGATGGTTTTATCTCGATACGATGATATTCATAGATCACTCGTTTCGTTGTGGCTGAAAATCAATTGGATATGCAAATGAAGCTCAATAAATTCATTGAAATCATTTTCACTTACTGATGCAAATTAAATTACCATATGCCATCAAGACATAATCAGTTAACTTGAATTTACCTACATTTGAAATTTTAGCTCAAGTTATGAGCAAAATGTGGTGACTAATCCAATCATTTCGATTGGATTCTAACGATAAAAACGAATTAATTTTATCGTTAAAGAAAGACGATAGAAAAAAACATAATAACAATAAAAAAGCGAATGATTGAAGAGGACGATAATAAGATCAAGTAAATTAATGTACGTGTTTGTGACATCGGTGCAATTGGATTATGAATGCTGTGATGGAATAAGTACGCATCACTCATGCCCAACTTCACCGGATGATGTGAATCACTGATATTCTCGACCGGTATTGGAATCTGAATTTTACGCCTCGTTCAATCACAAGTTCATTTGTAATGAATTCAGATTTCTCGAAAGAAAGAAATGAATTGATGATCATTAGAACGTAAATGAATGAATGCTTCTAATCAAATAGCATTAGTAGTATTCAAGTGAGTTTGCAATGAACCAACCTCTTTATAAACAAACCAAATATCGCCATTCTTATGCAATGATACTTGCAATGTGAAATAGCCATCTGAAAATCAAATCACTTCATCTAATGCGCCAATTAAAACGGTGATAATTAAGGTTCAAATATTAGAATAACACGAAACAGATATGCATATTCAATGGAATACAACTATGTAGATGATCGAGAATGTGCATCATCTCATCGACACAACTCAATAGCACTCGAAATGCAGTTCAAGCTTATCCACTGATCAAACTGCTTTTCTGAAAGCATCATACTGATTTTCAATCACGAACCACTGCGTTGCTCTCGCAACTGAAGATTGCTCCATTCGATAACTGATTTTCAATCACGAACCACTGCGTTGCTCTCGCAACTGAAGATTGCTCCATTCGATAACGAATTTCTCGCCATCATCCGCGTACATAATCGTTGAGTTCTCACCATGAGTATCGAAATTGGCCATTAACGGCGCTATGTACTGTGTTGCTGCCAGCCAACTGTGCGACTGATCACCCGTATAGCAAAACCCTGCAATCCGAGATATTCTTCGGTCTCTGACGACGGTATACCGTTGAAACTCCACGCAAAAGCAGGCATATGGAGCTAATTTCATTTGAAATTGTTGTTTGATAAATTCAAGTATCTCACTAAAGGAGCCTTGCTCATGGCATGATGACTAAAGAGTCATGAATATGAATGAAACACATTGTTTTCAATAAATGAAATCGATCAGACCAAACGAGAAGATTTTCAAAACGAACCGCCAGTCGCAATCGTTAGATTCCTCAAACGGTGACCATAAAATGGAAAATCAAACTGTATCTTTGCGGCCTGAAATTGAAACAAATCGATTCCTTCGGAAAGAAATCAGTTTTTAATTAGCAATCACTAAAACAATCGCTGGTGCCCTTTTACTCGAACAGTGACGATTGAACGATAAAATTTATTCGCTTTGAAAGAAGTTGCAACCTTGCTCAGGCCATTTTTTGTGACATTTTCACAATACGTCCTCGATTCATAGGTTTTCAAAATGAACTCAGTCAGTACAAACAAATGAGTTAAACTAATAAATAAGCATTCAAACGTACAACAGCTCTTCTGTAGCTGTTCGATAGAAGTGGATGACTCTCATTTCCAACCGTACCCGGTTTTTGCAACATTGACGGCACATCAATATAGTAATCCTTCATCATGTCCGATCGGTTCGTGTATATCTCCATTATATAGTACTGATGATCTATCTGAACAATGTTCATGCATCCACCAAGCGTTATTTTATTGCTAGCAAGCGCTGTTCATTTCCTTTCAAACAATTCAAAATTCCAGAATGACAATTATACTTCTGCGATCCTTAGAACTAGTGCAATACTGAGAATGAATGAAATCATTTGCTAAAACACTTCATAAAGTTGTATCTGAGCAGGGATTCTTAATCCAGGAAATACGCTATAGATTAGTACTCAATCAATGTACCGTATCATTTTGTATTTCCACATCCGACGGAATACGGAATGACTCTTCAGAGTCATCATCGACACCCCTCTTGAAACGTGCACTCCAGACGAGTGGCTCGAATGAGGGCGAATCGAAATTATAGTTGATTGCTGCTGCCAGACGTTCACCTGAAAATTTTCAACACTTCATTGTAAATTCATAGTGAATAACTGAATTTGTTGACTAATGATCGCTGTTGTTTGAAGAGCGATACGGTCTTGTAAGGTTTTGAACGGCCGAGAAGACTTTCCATCTGATACTTATCCTATCAGAGTGCATAGTACATCATCTCTTTACTGGATTCTAATGAGAGAACTGATTGCATCAGAGACAATCACATAAACACTTTAAGTTTCTTCGAAAGGGCCAATTGAATAGGTGTACTACCCAAAGGTCACATGGTACTCTCTGCCCTTGATGAATATGGATATTTCAAAGCGAAACTGAGCCAGTCATGATGGTTGAATCAATTTCACTGGGACAGTAATCGAGTTAAACTTCATGCTCTAATGAACGATTAACATTTATTGCATTTTAGGTTCTCATCGCCCTAAATTAGCATTCCGAACGAACGTAGTTGTGCGCATGTGATCGTTGAGGGAATGTTTCGAATGCAATAAACGTAATCTGATTTCGTAATTTACTGTGCGATGTGCGATGCGATGAGAAATGAGCCAAACTCATTGTGTGAGTACAGAATGCGCACTGTTTGTGATCTTTAATGCTTTGTGAATGCTGCTCCTTTTTCGGAGTAGAAAACGAGAAAATGAACAATTAAAATTGGATTAAATATTTCGCTAAAAAAACAGCATGCCAGTCATATTGAGAGCAGTAGCACTCTAACGTCGTTTACGCAATTTGAGGTTTTTTTGTGATGAAAAAACGTTCAGAAAGTAGTGTTGTTCCCATCAAAAATCAAACAAACAAACACAATGTGATATCGCATGAGAACTTTTTATTTCTCTATAATATCAAATAACAAATAAAAGCCACATGGTTTCGAAATTCGCGCCGAATTCGATTTATTGCATGCACCCTTTTACGGCATTCTCGGTCCCTTCAATTTATCAGAAAACATTTTACAAAAATCGCAAATTTCTGCCCTGATTATGCGCATAAATAGGTAATCTCGTAATTAGAAGAATTTCGTAATTAATAAAGAAAAGAATTCAACTGCAAAAAATCGCCAGTCATACAAACTCATCGTTTCGAAATATACACACGATTCATCCGTCACTACTGCACATTCAGACGACAATTCTCATTTGTCTGTGATGAACATTAGTGAAAGATTAGAATTAATGGAAAATGCTAAAAAAAAAGAATGAATGATTGTAAAAGTTACCTGTGATAAGATTTTGAGGGAGAAAACACTGAATGAGCAGGCATATTAAGGCGATTGAGATCCATAAATTATCAGAAAGCATTTTTTTACAACCCAAACGAACTGTTCTTAAAATTTCAACAAATTTCAACATCACCATTTCATCGATTAAATGCGAATTCAACAAAAACAATACGACGACGAC